TGCGCAGGGGTAGGGCACTGACAGGATGCCATGCCCTGCCCCACCCCAGCCCAGCCCAGCCCAGCCAGTCATCAGATGTTGCCTCCACGAAGCATTTTGCGGTTTGTTTTGCTCGCCAGCTACGTGGCAAAGGAAAAGAGGAGAAGGAACTGCCGGCAAAGAAGGAATACACAATTGTGTTTACTTACAGACAGAGAGACAGAGAGACAGAGAGACACAGAGGGGGCGGAGGCGGGGCCACCCACTGGGAGCTATGACAAAGGTGCCAAGTTCTAGACACTGCAGCCACCAACCCAACCCTCCACCCACATTGTGAAAGTGAAAAGTTTGCCAAAGTGCGAGGCAAACGAACGGAAAAGCGACGCGGGCGGTGCTCCTGGTGGTCTCCTCGTTATCATACAACAACAACCAAAAGATGGGAAAATAATAAAAAGAGAAACGAAACGAGGAAAGGAAAGGAAAACCAAGAGAAAATCAAAGGAAAAGCAAAGGAAAATTAAGGAAATTCTGAAGAAAGCAAAAACGGATAAAAACACAAAAGAAAAATAAAACACATGCAAAGGGAAACAAACGAAAAAACATAAAAAAAACTGAAGGGCAGTAAAACGCGCAAAGAAAACGCGCGGAAAAGCCAAAAAGGACACGAAAAAGGACACAAATAATGCAAAGAATTTGCGTAGCAAAACAAAAGAGCGTTAAAAAAGATGGTGGATGGTGGGGCAGGGCGTACAAATATTCATTAACTTGTTGGCTTCTGTGGGTGGCGTGGCGTGGCACTGAGACATTTTTTTGTTCCCTTAACTCTAATTTTCATTCCATTGATGAAGGACATTTTCTATGCTGTAAGAAGTGTTTGGGAATTCAATTTCCAATCCGAAGTTCCACTCTTTGGACTGCTGTTGGACTGCTTAACTTTTGCTGTAGTTTTCATAGATTGATCTTTTCGACTCTTCAGCCTCTGGAGCCTCGTCTGAAATCCACTTATTCCACGTTTCATGCCAATCCAGCAGCTTTTGTTTTATCTCTCAACAATTTCCTTTGACAGATTTTGCTTTGATTGCAACGAACATTGCGTATACGCCACGGACTCTGGCTATTGGTAAACAGAACTCTTTATATTATGCATTAATTAAATGCATAGCCAGGCACCTTTTCCTTGTATTCATTCTTGGGCACTCATTCAATTCCTTTGGCATTCACACAGATTTTGTAGTGTCTATTGTGCCGCTGCCTGCCTTTTCTGCCCGCTAAAAAGGATCTTCTCCAGCAAATGTGCGCCAAGAAAAGGAGTTGCCAAAGCAAAGGGGCGGGGGCCAAGGCCTAGAATAGAACTGAAAACAAAGCAAAACAAAAGCCAAAAAGCGAATTGCGAAAACAAAAGCGGGAGCAAAACAATTCCAGAAAATATTATGAAGCTCCATCCACAAACAAACAAAAAGTGGCGGAGGTCCTCGGGGATACCAAAAAGCGGATGCACCTCGGCGTGGAACAGGAGTGGCGGCGAGGCGGAGACAACTCTCTGCCGCGTCAGTTGAAGACAGTTTTTGGACTCCCGGATGATGGGACTCCGAAGCATTCGAGCAACTCCCAGAGTCCGCCGCAGCGGAAGTAACTTGCTGGGCCGCTGTTGTGGCTGATTATGCTGCCAGTGGCAGTGTGGCAGGAACAGAGACGCTGTCTGGACTCCCGGCTGCTGCTGCTGCTCGCATATGAGTCCTGGCTGGCTGGCTGGCTGGCTGGCTGGCTCTGGCGTCTCTCCCGCAGCGACTAGCGCTCTCGCTCTTGCTCTCCCTTGGCGGAGCCGGAGACCCGTTTCAATTTGTACATCTTCTCCATGCAGCGTGCACCCCACCACCACTCTGTGCAGCAGTTTAATTATACATAAATACAAGAGTTGGCATTCAGCCCAGTCCCAGTCCCAGTCACAGTACTTGGCCTACACACTCCCCTTCCGCTTTTTTTGTTTGGTGGGGGAGCAGGGGGCATCCCAAACACTGTGGCCGCAGCTGGACAAAAGTTTGACGTCCACATGACGACACGTTGACACTGCGGGTGCACAGCCAGTGGCAGGAGGCAGGAGGCAGTTGCTGCTGCTGTTATTTGTTATAACAATTGCAAATGCCAAAAGCCCAAAAGCAGGAACAAGGAGCACCAGGAGCACCCATCGGTGGTCGGTGGTTGTCATGGCGCCGCCTGAAACAGCGGCAGGATAACAATAAAAAAACATCGACATGGAGGCAGTGGCAGGGGGCAGTGGCAGCAGCAGTGGCAGCGGTCTGGTCGCCTGGTCGGCCTGTCGGTCGCTTTCGCCCATTTAATGGACACTGTTTGGTCGATAATCAAATTAAAAGAAACGAAGCGAAAAAGGCACGGAAAACAACAGCAAAAATAGCAAATGCAAGGCACAGCCAGGCGCCAGGACGATGAAGAGGACGAGGACGGGGACGAGGACACGCCGCTCGACCATGAGATGCCCAACCTCCAGCACTCCAGCGGGGTTGTGGAAACGGTAGCGGAATCGGCATCGGTCATCGAATCGCTGGAGGTCAGGTGGGTTGCTGCAGGTGCAGGCCCTGCCCGACTTACAGCTGCAGCCAGGAACCGAACGAAAAAGGCAAAACGGACGCGTGCCGCTCGTTTGGCGCTGACCAGGAGGCACTGCCCAGGCTGCTAGTGCATTGAAGCCGAACGGCATGCCACGGGCCATGAATACACTCGTTTCGAGGCACACTCAAAGGGTTCAATGGGTGTCAAAGGGCATTGGAAATTGCTTAATTTAAACGTTCACAAATATTCGATTCGTTGTGTCTCCCACTCCAGCACGCTCTCCCACTCTCTGTAGAATTGTCACCCACTCCCCTATTATTTTGGGGCACTTCTCAATCACTTGTCGTACATGAACCAAAGACTTGTTCTCGGAAATTACTCATCAGTGAAGTACACACATCCCATTCCATTCCATTCCATCCCACCCATTCCGGTGCCCCAGCACCTGTGATAAGCGAGAGACCACAACCACCCTCCGTGCCATCCCTCCGTGCCCATAAACACCTGTGATAAGAGACAGTGAGGCAGAGAGGCAGAGGCCGTTTGGGCCACTGGGGTGACGGGCATGACGAAATGCTGTAAAATGTTCATCTGCCTCCAAAAGATTCCTCCAAAAAGATTCCCAGACCCCAAAGAAGACAACAAGAAAACCACAACAACAGCAAAAAAAAACCCAAACCAAGAACAAGAGAATCGAAAATCAAAATTGAAATTGTAGCAATTAATTATGATAGGACAGACCTAGCCCCAGCCACATCCTCTACCCCAACCCCACCTCTACCTGCTGCGGGAGTGTGGGAGGGAGGTTCGAACAACAGCAATTTTCGGGGAGCGATATCGATAAGGGGGGACAGCAAGCAGTCTTCTCAGAACCAGAACCAGAACCAGAACCAGACCTCAGGCCTTAGGTGGGTCCAAGCGATCGTCAGCTGTCGCTCTACTTTTTATCAAGAAAAAGCGCAACACTAAATGTGGCAAGTTGTGGGGAGGAGGGGGCGGTACTGGCTTGTTGCTTTTTGTTGACTTTGATTTGTAAAACAAATAAGCCATCCACAGAAAGCAACACAACAGCACACAACAAAAAGAACCGAAACAAACAACTTTGCGAGCAATTAAAATTGTTTTAAAAAAGAAAACTTTCGTGGGAGAAGGGGGGGTTGGTCCGTGACTCTCTCTCGCTCTCGCTCTCTCTCTCACTCTCTCTCTTTTCTCGACTGACCGAAGTGCGTCATTGTCCACTCCCGCTATCTAGATATCTATCCGATAACACTGTTTGCTCTCCACAACCCCCTCACTGACCCCCCCGCACTGGGCAAAAAGAAAAAAAAAGTGTGTGGAAAATCTGTGCAAAAAATGAAACCCCCAAAAGCAGAGCGAAACAATCCACAATATTTTTTATGGCGGACGGCTACAATCCATATTATGACAATGATATGGAGGGATACACCCATGTGCAGGCCCCGCACCGTGCCGTTATGTGCCGTACCGCTGCTTTATGGGTTTACGGCCACCTTGATTTCCCTTTGAAATAGCGACGGAGCTCCCCAAAAACGTTCCGAAATACCCTCGGCCATTGGGATAGGGCATTCGTGGAATCGAAACAAAATCAAAAAGGGTATGCTAGACTGGTTACTGACTTTACAGCCCAACAACGCCAATGCCACAAAAATCAGCAAAAGCCAAAAAAAGCGAAAAAAGCGAAACCAAAATGTGAAAAATCATGGCGGGACACACCTCGAACGAGCTGATGGACGGACTGGGCTCTGATTTAACGCATGGCGATATCGCTCAGCGATAACTCCCACTAGATACAAAACGAGAAAGACGAGGAGGGGAGGGGAAGTGCCGTTCCATATGGCACTCGTGGCAGGTGGGAAGGGTGCACTGATATGACAAAGTTTTTATTAGGTTCACATGAACCTGGGGATAATCTGTTATGGACAAAGTGGCAAACGATTTAACCAACAAGCACATTCATCGAACAAAGACGATAAATGATCGATTATCCATGGAGGTCACCGATTGCAGGTGTCTTTCTGCATGTCCAATGATTTGATTGTGGAAATTGGGTCAGAGACTGAAAATAGCAAGAGGCTTCCAGGATTCCAAAAAGAAATTCAAGTTATTCGCAGAAAATCTTCTCTTAAAGTGTAGATTAAGATACACCACAATCTATGGCTAAAAGTGAATGGAATGCGAATAAATGTCAAACTATGACAGGTGGTGACCCCGAAGCATAATAAATGCAGCTTTTCAATGAGTCAAGTTCCTCCCAAACCATTTGATTCTGAGTTGCAGTTGTTCCAGACAGCCCAAGGGCGATATGCAGATGACAGCTGGGAAAGCTTTCATCGTGCACCCAACCAGCAAGATGAACATCCAATTGGAATCACATTTCCTAGGAGTACATTCCACTGAGAATGTTTGAGTCTTTCCAAAGCAGCGCCACTTACCTTGTGCAATTCGGACCGCTGGCATTTTAATTCTCATTTTTCTTTCCAATTTCCAAAGATTTCCTTTTCCAGGCTGCGGACACTCCTACACACACACACACAGGGGGTGCCCCCCGCGACGGTCCTTATGTGTGCTGTCAATGCCAGAACTTGGATTTTCGAATTTCGAATTTCGAATTTCGATTCCTACCCACGATGGCCCGATGTTTGTTTTAAGCTTTTGTTTTGTTTTTCTTGTGATATTTGTTGCTTATTCCTTGTTCAAGGTCCCGTTACGGTTACGTTACTATTGCACTCGGTTACCTTTAGCTCATCCTTCAAGTTTCACAACAAAAAAAGGACACGCACTCACACATACAGGACGATACAATGCACACACACGCGCGCGTTAAATGCAGTTGGATCTTTGACTCCCTTTCCATATGTATGCGTATCCAGCTATGTAAGTATCCTTTGTGGGCTACTCCTGCGATGCCATCTTCGATCTTGTGACCTTGGCTTGGACGAAGGCAAAGGCGAAAGGGTCACTCTCTCTATTTGCTGCTGCTGCTGCTGCTGCTTCTTCCTTCCTGTATCCGCTTCCGTCTTTCTTCGTTTTAGGAACCGTTTCTCTTCTTATTGGCCTACTCCTTACTCTCCTCTTCACTCCTTTGCGGTGGTGCGGTTTCACGGGGGATTAATCTATTGCTGCTGCTGCTGCTGCTGCTGCTGTGTGTATATTTTTTCAGTTGGTAGTTTTTTTTGGTAGCGGCCTCTGAAAACAGTTGTTCGTTTCGTTTGTTTTATTTTTGCATTTGCATTTGCCACCCATATTGTCTGTCGGTGTGTCTGTGCCCCGTCTTTCACGTCTCTCGTCTATTAGATATCGCTACCCCTCCGGCAATAGGAGCTGGGAAACAGCTTTAACATTATTCCAATTGGAGTTGCTTTGATCCTCCTTCTCTGTTTTGGTTTCTTGTTTTCGTTTTCGTTTGTTTTGATTTCTTTCTGTTTTCACACTTGGTCACACTTGAAAAAAATTGCACTTCTTTTGTTGTTGTTGTTGTTGTTGTTGTTGTTGTTGTGGTTGTGTTGAATATTTTTTTTTAGAGGATGATATTACATTTAGAGAGAGGGTAGAAAAAATAGCTAATATTAGTTATTGTTTATTTATTGTTGCTGCTGCGGCGGGGCTCCAGTTGCGGCCTGCTGCTGCTGCTGCTACTGCTACTGCTGTTTGTGGCGCGACGGATGGCGGGAGCTTTTTTTGTCGTCGTCCGGTTTTTGTGTGGTGCTAACGGTAACGGCGGAAGTGAAGTACGCGACTGCTTTGCGACTGCTAGCGGCGAGCGCGTCTTCGCTGCGGCTGCGACTGTGGCGCTGTTCAGTTCAGCCTCTGCTTCTGCTGCCACGGCAATGTGCCGTTGTGTATGCGCGTGTGTGTGTGTTGTCCAACCAACAAAGCACAAAGCCCAACAACACACAACCGACAACCGTCGTCGAACTCCAACAGCACTCCAGCAACAATACCAACAACACCAGCCAAGGCGACAGCGAACGGCGAACGGCGGCGAACACGAACCTGGTCGTTGCAGACCGAAAAGCTTGACACGACGACTCTACGTTGCTGGTCGGTGTTAGCTAGTCTGTGCGTGTGTGAGGGTGAGCAAGAGCGAGAGAGCGAGAGCAGAGTGGCTCTGCTGCTGTTGCTGTGGCTGTGGCTGTTACTGCTGCTGCTTGGAAATAGTAGCTAGCTGGCTGTGTGTATGTGAGAGAGTGAGTTCGACTAAGCTCAAGCTAGTTAGAGGCAAAGGCGAACATGTCCGAACGCGTCGATGTCCTGCGAGCGACTGCGGACGCACACGTTCAGATAATTCAATTTTATTTAGGGTTTTGCACTTTAATGCCAATCTCAAAATTTGATTTTGGCTAAGCGATGCCGGCGTGGCGCAGCGTCAACGGCGACGCTGCGTTGGCCTGCCTGCCTGATGCTGCTGACGCCAACGCAGCAAGCTTTACCCTTGCGCCAGCCAGCCAGCCCTTTGATTGTGGTGGTTGTTGTTTTTGTTCGGTGGTGGGTTGGGGTTTGGGTTGGGTGGGTCGCCGCTGCCGCTGCTGTCGCTACTGCGTTTGCTTATTTGGTTTGCGCGCTGCCACTCGTTGGTCCGTTGGCCATCACACACATGTATGTGCGTATGTGGGGGTGGGTGGAGGTGCGAGGCAGTGCGAGCAAGCAGGCATGCGAGAATGCGAGTGAGGAGTGAGCCAGGTTCGACGCAGGCAGCGCGGGCAGCGAAGTCGCCGCTGATAACACACACCCGTAAACACACACATGCATGCATGTATGCTCTGGAGAAGGGGTCACTATTTGGATGGGTGGGATTGTTGGGTATATATGGCTGAGTCTGAAGCTGTGTCTGAGTATGGGTGGAACGGACAAGACTGGCCAGCAATTTGATTGTCCAGCAGTTTGATTGCAACCCCTGTGAATGCGGCTGCGTCGACTGCAGCGTCAACGACAACGGTGACAGCAAACGCAACGGCGACAGCGGCCGGCTTTTATGAATGAATCGAACAACAACAAAAACAACAACATACAAAAACAACAAATACAAAAAAAAAAAACTGAATTTAAAGCGCGCGCGCACCTTTCCGCGCCCAAAAATTAACAGCAGCCGCAACAGCCGCAGATTCAGAAATTCAGATTTAGCCTCTGCCTGGCGACGACGGCACTCACTCAAGAGAGGGAGAGAGTTAAAGGAAACTCAAGAGGCCGCTATAGACGCAAAATTTTCCCGGCTTTTCGCGCGGTTTTCCGTCGTGGAGCTGCTTCGTATTGGGGGCACGTCCTCGCCACGCGGATGCTCGGTTGCATCTAATCATTGGGGGGCCGCCGCAGCTGCAGCCAGAACCGAGCGCCAACCGAACTGAACAGCCGGCAACGCGGTTTGTTGTCGTGACGAGTGGATGGTGTGGTTGGTGGAGAGGCGATCGCAGCAGTAGTGGGCGGAGGGAGGGTGGTTGCATTGGATCAGTGGTGAATGAATCAATGAATGCTCTGGCATTCACTTGGGGCAAGCAAACACCTTCCCCCCCCACGCCACCCCTGCCACTGCCATCATCAGGTGGGGTCAACAATAATCAAAGCCTGGCCAGAGTGTAAGCGAGAGAGATATAGAGCTGGAGTTGGCTGTTGGTTCGCTGCGAGCCGCAACATCGAACAGGTTGCAAGGTGGCCCCCAAACTGGCCGCTGCGCTGACGTCGGCGTCCACGTCGCTGCAGCCATTAATGTCAGGCTGGCTCTTGATATGGGAAATCCAGCGCACACTCATATGTGTATTATTCGAGTGTAGGTGTGTGTGTTTCAGTGTGTGTGTGTGGTTGAGTTCTCGCTGAGGGGCCAAAAGTGAATGCGAGCTTTTGTTTTACTGTTAATTGTGAATAGTGACTGTGTGTGTGTGTGACTGTGTGTGTGTGTGAGTGGTCTCTGTGGGTGGAAGAGTGGAAGGGGGTGCATTCGGTGGGGTTTGGCGAGCACACACATGTGTTTATTGAGTGCGTATGAGTGTGTCCAGAGGCCCCTTACCGTGCACACGCATGATGCTTGCTTTCTCGTCGAGTGGTTGGGTGGGGGGGTTGGGTTGTTAAGTAGAGTCATGTCCACATCCATAGCATATATATTGGCGCTTATGTGCACCCACACATGCATATGCACACATGCACGCACACACACGACATTCACACACGAGCGTCGCACACGCGCGTTCGTCATCGATTGGCCGTCGGTGCTCTCGCATATTTGTTTGACAATCGCCGCCCCCTTTCGGCCCACACAGCCTCCCAGCCACAACCCCTCAACATTTCCCCCACCTGCTGCTGTCGCTGCTGCTGTGACTGCCGGCTACGACGCTGCCTCTCACGCCGTACAGGTAGCCAACCGACCGACCGACCGAGAGAGCGACTCTCTCTGCCGCTCAGTCAGCGTAGGCAGCGAGTGTTGACTGAGCGAGAGAGCAGCAGCAGCAGCAGCAGTTGCATTGCGAGAGGGAAAGCCTTCAGCAGGGGTGAGGGTACATGCCGAGAAAGCCGAGCCGAGCCAGAGCCAGAGCCAGAGACCGTGCCCGAGTCCCAGAGATAGAGAACGCGAGAGAAAACAATGTGTGCCACGACGATATCGCCGCCAAGGTGATGGCTGTTGGCGGGCTGCGTGGGCTGAAGGGGTGGCTGTGTGGCTGGCAGAGGGACGCGTAGGGCTTCTGCTGGGCAGTCGGATGGGGTTAAGTGTGCGGTAGAGCCATGGCTCTTATCAGTCGCCTCGCCAGCGCTGGCCCAGCCGGCACGGCGCGAGGACGCACGGAACGTGGAATCCACACGAAGACAGAGAGGAGACGGACTTTCCCAGAACACAAATCGTGAATGGGCTACGTGAATGTATCTATTCCCATCTATTGTTATCTATAAATAATTCATAAGGTTATCTAGAGCTTTGCTGAATTCAGATTTTGTTATGGAAATCTGTGAGTGTTTGAGCGAGTTACTCAATAGCAGACTTTCGATATTAGAAAGTTATTAGAGAGATAATCATGGAGTCAGGTCAGATCAAAATCAAAACAGAAATGTACTTTCAGTTACTTCACCTGCAAACCAGATGGAAAACTCCCTAAAATGCTTCACCAAACTTGAGCTAATTTCTGCAGCAAAGAAGAAAAAAACCATTTGAATAGCCCATCCCTAAATCGTTGAAACATTTGTGGAAGAAGACTTGCCATGTGCTAAGATCGAGTTATGTTCACTTTTGGATCGTCAAATAATATTCGCTTCTCCTGTTTACTGTTTGGTTGGTTATTCCGATTCGGCACGATCAAAGGGCAGCAATTACCATCGTGAATCCAAATCCAAGTGCGAGAAACCTTCGGAGCGCCTCAATTGCAGCACGCAATCAACAGCCTCACACATTCACGAGTGTGAATGCGAATCCGAATGCGAGTATATCCATTAAACATTCATCTCATTCGAATATGTGTACGGCTAAAGGTACCTATGGATGGATGGATGGATGGATGGATGGATAATGTATGCATATGGAGGCAGGGCTCTCTGGGGTATCGGCATCGGCATCGGCATCGATGGACGGCCTCTGCTCTAACCGATTCATTGTCGATTGTCGCCGTTGTCGGCAAGATGTGAGAAATATTGTTTCCATATTGTTTTTCTTGTGTTTATTTCTTGACAAAAAGCAGAAAAAACCGAAATAAAACAAAAACCGCGAGCAACAAAAACGAAAATTACAGAATTGCCGACAATTACCGCCTTGAGGGGCGGCGGCGGGCAATTCGCATGTGACATATGTGGCACAAGAAAGGGGCAAAAACGCAGCTTCAGCAAAAGTAGAGGAAGCGGCGCAAAGATGCTTGAGATTTAGAGTGCACTCCGGCAGTCCGCGGTGCAGTGGCACAAAACTGCAGCGCAAGGAAGTGCAACCACTGGCACAGAGACTGCCACAGCCACTGCCCCTGAAACTGCATCATTATGGCAGCTGAGGAGCTGCCATGAGATCCTGCGGCGTAGCCATGTCCAGCGAGCAGTAGAAGTGTCGACAAATTGGTTTGCCTCGACCTCCATCTGTAATCTGCAAAGCATCGACGTGGCCAAGAGTCAGCTCCAGATCTTGGCCAAGGGGCAGTAGCAGACTGGCAGACAGGCAGCAGGCCAGCGCAGGCAATCCATCCATCCATTAGCATTAAGGCCGATGCAGCCGCAGCAGCCACTGCGCGGCCTGGCCAAAAATGATTGCCGGTTGGCTAAGTGGCCATCCAGACATCCAACGATCGCAGCTCAATCGTTTGGCCAACGGCTGGCCATTATCACGGCTACCGGTTCTTGGGCCTGTGTCTGGTGTGTCTGTTCCTGGGTCCAGTCTTGCTGTATCCATGCCTATACCGCCATGGCCCCCGCAGTGATTGTGCCACCGCTGTCCGTGCCAGGCATCTGTGGGGCACCGCCAGCTATTAATTGTCGCGTGAACAGCTTTGTTAGATCGATTTGGGGGTCACATACACACTGTCCCGCTGTGTCAACCATTTGCTCATCCATCGGTTACTCAACCCAGCAACAGCAGAAACGACAGAAACCTGCCACCTGCCACTGCCACCCGTGGCACCATTTGTGGCACCGATTCTCAATGCCAGCGGCTGGCCGTTGATCGATTAAACGAGCCACTGACAGGCGGAGGTGGGACAGCAGAAGGATACGGGGCAGCAGCAGCAGCAGGACTCACAACCAAATGAGTTAATGTCACACCAGAATATCCAGGCAAGAAAGAGTTTTGTTTTTTTTTGCTTTTTGGGGGTCCATTCGTTCCATTCCCGTTGACATATTGTTGATTGACGCAATCCACGGAGGCCACAATCGGAATCGCAATCGCAGACCCAATCCCGGGGGTCGCGTAGCCATGGCTAACGGGCGGTCTTTGTGGTTTCGGTTATGGGCTGGCTGTGTGTTTGGTCGCTGGGTCTCGGTCTCTGGGCCGGCTGCTTCTTGTTGTTTCCGAGGACTAAACAAAGTTTATCGATTTAACAAGCAGCGGGCACCAGGCGCAGCACCAGCAGCAGCAGCAGCAGCAGCGAGCGGGCCAACAGAGTGCCACATTTTGATATAGTCTTCTTCTACGGCTCTCTGCTGTGGCCCCTGTCCCCAGCCCC